CCTAGACCAGATTGCCCAGAACCATGACCAAGCAGCTTTTGAATATCTCCAAGTATGCCAATAAGATCCCTCCTGAGCCTTCTCTTCTTCAGGCTGAACAGTTCCAACTCTCTCAACCTTTCCTCGTAGGAGAGTTGCTCCAGTCCCTTAATCATCTTTGTACCTTTTCTGGACTCTCTCCAGCATGTCCTTGTCTCTTTTGTACTGGGGAGCCCAGAACTGCACACAATACTCCAGGTTTGGCCTCATCAATACTGAATAAAGGGGAAGGATCACTTTTCTTGACCTGCTGGCAATGATTTGCAGCCCTGATACCATTTGCCTTCTTTGTGGCAAGGGTACATCACTGGCTCTTGTTCAACCTGGTGTTCACCAGAACCCACCCTGGTCCTTTTCTGCCAAGCTGCTTTCCAGTGGGGTGGCTCCCAGCATGTACTGGCACCTGGGGTTGTTCCTGTGCAAGACTTGAACCTTCTCCTTGTTGAACTCCATGAGGTTCCTTCCTGCCAGCCCATTTCTCTTGCCTGTCCAGTTCCCTCTGGATGACATCATGACCTTTTGGCATATTGGCCACTTTTCCTAGTTTCGTGTCATCAGCAAATTGGTGAGAGTGCACTCTGTTCCACCATCCAGATTGTTAATGAAGGTATTAAACAGGACTGGACCCACTATTGACCCTGGAGTTCGCCACTTGTTACTGGCCTCCAACTCGAGGCTCACAGATGAGCAGTTTTACATAACTTATTCAGACTTCCACAGGAGGTTTTGTGGGGATTTCATATTATTGATAATCATGTTCCTGACTAGATGCACGTATTTCTTCAGAAGTTACTTCCACCCCATTAATCTCTTAAACATTTAAAATAGTAGAGACCTATAGCTAATTGGTTTGCAGAGATGATGAACACTGTATGATATAGTCTGTGGAAGAAGATGCGTAGATGTGGACAGTGTGGATAGATATTCAAAGGGGAAGATCCCATTTGATGTACAGCAGGTCAGAGGCTTATCAAGGTGAAGTTGTACTTGGCACATTGTATTATGATGCAGGATTGCGGCATGTAATGATTTTTTTTTTGAAACAGAGTAAGTTACCCAAAAGAGACTGTGACTGTTAAAACCAATGGATATAAATTTAAAATCTAGGTATAAAATAGATCATTTAGAAGTAAAAGGATAATCTGGACAATTTAGGTAGCAAAGGAATTGTTTTCGTGAGAGGTTTCTTTGCTTTCTGTGGTACATCATTTGTTTTGCCAGGTCTGGATGGTGAGTGTGGTAAGGACTGCTAATGATGTTTTTTTAGTAGTATGTGCCATTCATCTATTTAATGTATGCATTTCAGTTTCTCATAATGTTTTTCATGTGACAGCTTTAGAATAATAAACTGAAACAAGAAAATTGATCAATCTTTATCAACAAACCATACAAGATAGCCAGTTAAGTAGGAATTAAATCTTTTTCACAATTCAGATGTGTTGGAATCTTATACTTTTTCCTACCTTTAACCAAATCATAATAAATATTGTGTTTTCCTATTGAAATCAGTTTTGTCACTAATTTTAAAATGAGCTAGGTCAGTCATTATGTGCTATTAGGAAAGTAAATGTTTTTGCTTAGATTTAAGGAAAGATCGCTTGTGTTTAATCTTTTCTTCGATACTTGGCTTTATAAAACAAAGGATGAAGAGATATTAAATGTTGCGAATGATGTTACAGTTTTGTCTTCTTTGTGGGCCTTTCAGTGATCTTCAATCGTATAGTTTTTCTCAAGTTATGTGTCTTAGGTCTTATTCTTCAAGCTGTACTTATTTTTTTTATAAAGTTTAACAAAAACTTTGTCAAGGACATCTTACTTCCCTGCTTTTTTTTTTTTTTTTTTTATGTACTAGTAAATTCTTAAATAACTGAAGTCGCTCAAGAGTGTAACCATCTGTTCTGTTTCCAGTAGAACAATTCATTCTTGTACTTCCCCTTGAGTTGTCAGTCCTTAGCAAACTCTGATTTCAAACAATGCACTTTTATTTTTGCCTTCAGTTATTCACATTGATCTCAGCTAACAGTAGGTATATATTTAAAAATAAATTGCCTTGGTTTTGTTTTGTCATAACTGTAAAATAGGTATTGTCTCCATTATTATTTCAGTGATGTATTTTGTATTACCAGATTGTGTTACTTAATATAGGGTAATTTTTCTTGTTGAAATATTTATTTATTTATTTAAATTTGACCTCTTTTTTTTAATGTAACCTCATCTTTGCTGGTTTTAATCCATTTTCTCTTTTTGTTTTTTTGGTTTTTTTTTCCCCTTCTCATTTGTTTACTATTATGGAAAAACAAAACAGCACCTTTAATAGACTTTGTGGAAGTGATGAACAACTTCAAGTCTCTGGGCATTCTTATTTGTATCTAAGCATTTGTATTTAATATAATATCCGTTAAATTATTTCCATAAATCATATTAGGTTTTTTCCATGAAATGTATTTCATGTTACTTCCATAGATCAAAGCTAAACAGATGCTGTAATGTCAGCTTTAGTGTTCAGTTAGTGCTGCTGAGGTTCTCGGTGTTTTTGAAACTTTGCTGTATTTTCTTCTGCCATAAAAAACTTCTGTTCAGTGGTGTACTCTGGGAGTCAAAATCTGGCAAGTCATCCTCCCAAAACAGTGTTCTGCTTTCCCTCAACTTGTTTTTTGTTTTGTGTTTTTTTTTGTTGTTTTGTTTTTTTTTTACTTTTAAGGTAAATCTGTGCCTTGGTGAAGCTGTGCCTACTGCCCTCTTCCTGCATCCTTTATTCTCTTTATGCCTTCTACAAACAGACTCTAGTCTTTCTCATGAAATTAGAATTGAGGTTTTTTAATGTATATGCATATATATATATATACACACACGTATAAAACAAAATCTAGAAATGAACTCTCTGTTCAGTCTTCAGGTGAGGAAAATAGCTTTGCAAAAGACATCTTTTTGCTCTGAAGAGTCTCACAAGAGCTGCGTTTGCATTTGATGAAGAGTGGGAAGGGGAAGGAGTCACTGAATAAACATTAGTCTCTCTAAAGTACCATCAGTCCGTTGTGTTGTACAGACTGTTAGCAGTTGTGTTCCCTGGAGAGGGCTGCTGTCCCATCACAGGAGACTCTTAGTGTAGATAAAAGAACTAACTGCATGTTTTGATTAAAGCGGAAGAGTCAGAGGCTGGATATTTCCTGTATCTCTTACCAACAAAATCTTTGTCAAGGTTATGCAGAGTCTCGATGATTGGCTGTTACTTAATTTGATTTGGAATATCTGCAAAAATAGATTTTACATGAAAGTGTTGATTTATTGCTACCAAAAGTTTTTTCATTAAAAATATTGATTCATATAAAATTTTTCTGTTTCAATGAATTTAATTTTCAAACTTATGAACACTTTTAAAAGTTTCATAAGTTTTTTAAAAGTTTTCATAAATAATAAAATGTTTTGTTGTGACTTACACAATCAGAACTTTATTTCCCAGTTCATTAATTTCATTGAATGAAGAGTTCATTTTTTCTTTCAGATTAGAAACAGAACTTCTTTAACACAATCTACTGAGATCAGAAAAACATTCCTGTCCAATTCTAGTTGTTACTGTTTTCTTGTTAGTCAAAGACAGTCTCAGTTTCTCAGCTGACTAAATATAGATTGGTTACTTTTTTAAAAATTACTTTCCCCTCCAAAGAAATTGGTTTTAGCTGTGGGATAATAATCCCTTTCTATGTTTTTTTACTTTTGTATGTAATACACTGATCTTCCACATCTGTGCTTGAGATCTGGCATCAGAAAAGCTCCAGATGAGTGCATTTAGAGCTAAAACTGTATGGCAAGCTTAAGGCATTATTGCTAGACGTCCTTGTTGTAATTAATCAACTTCATTCTCTCATTAATGTTTTTATTTTTTAAAACAGGAAGTTTCATTCAGGTTTGAATTTGTAATTTTAGCTAGTTCTGAAAGTTTGACTGTTTCTTTTTCTACGCACATCCAGAAACTAAGAAAAACAGTCTCTATCAGTATTTCAAGATTTCTTGCCAATATGTTTGTTTCCAGATGAGTATCTGAAAAGATATTTCACTGACTGCCTTTTGTACACATACATGTGTAATTTTTTATGCATCTTCAGATTTGCTTCGTAATTTCTTCGCAATTTTTATCAGCTATATATCTGTTCAGTAGTTCAAAAGTGAACTCTTTAGGACTTCACAGTAATATGGTGGAAACGTGTGTATTTAAAACTGAAATACATTGCAAGTAATTAAAGACTACTTCTCAAGTGTACAATTAAGGCTTCTTAAAGGCTTTCTATTTGCAAAAAAAAAGTCTCTTCAGAAAGTTTTGTTATCATAAGTTTCAGCAAATAAGGTGTAGAAGAAAATATTGATGTTTCTATTCCAGGGCAAAGAACAAATGCTGTTTTCCTATGTATATTAAAGTCCAATAGTTATCTCAAACATTTGTTTAGAATTCAGATGTGGTGAATCAGACTTTACAAAGCCTGATAACACAGTTCTGCGTAACAAGATGTTACAGTGCACAACTGCTTGTTGTTTGCGCGGTGTAGCTTTCCTGGGTAAAGTTCTCCCTGTGCAGAGTCTGGGCAAATGAACTCTTTTGGAAAGTAAAATAGATCTTAGTGTTCAAATTTTGTGCTTGATCTTTGCACAAAGATGAATTTGTCCTTGTAGAAAGAGGACAGTGTTACTGAGGACTTGTAGACGCTACAAGTCCAGTAACAACTGCAGGGCTATGGCCTTGGGACCAGTGTGCCACAATTCTGGACTGGGGAGATAAGTTTTGTTCAGGAACCTGTGTTTCTAAGAGAAGTCTGACATTCAGTAAATGAATATAAGATCCTTCTCAAACACAGAAGAACTGACAAAATCAGCTCAAAGTACAAGGAAAGATTCTAGCAAATTTTTACTTAAAAACAGTGAATGATATACAAGTTCTTTTACTTTCTTTTTCTTTTTTTTTTTTTTAGATTCATCAGATGGAAGTCTAAAAGCCTCTACACATCATGGGGCAATAGATGTTTATGTCAGTCAATTAAGAAAAGTGGATCTGAAATCCCAGAAAGGTTAGCAAACTAAACCAAATATTTTTTTGTGGCAGCTTGTGATGTTAAAAGAAAAGGAGGTAAGGTGTTTTTTTTGTTTATCTGTCTGGGAAAAATTAATTTGTGATTGTTGGTTATCTATGTTCTTTTTTTACCTCATTATTAGAAAATGTGTATAAATATTTATAATACAGTAAACTCTGTAAGGGGCAATGATACTTAAAATGGATTACAAAATTTTTTTATTTTTCGATACTTTGTTGTTGTTTTTTTTTTTTCCTGGCAATCTACACAGAAGAATTCTGCAGAGTTGACTTGGATTACAATCTTCCTTTGCCTTGAGTACAGTTTACTCCATGGTGCTGATATATGTATGTGCAGAGTGGCAACCGTTGCATGTTTAAATTTATTTTTCTTACCTTTTCCTGGTGAAATGTCCCATTATTGAAATTGGAAGGCAGGAAAACAAAGATGAGAGGGTCTTACCCTACCATTCTTCCTTTTTACTCCTGATTACTCACTAGAATTTCACTTCTTAATTAAAAGCTCACTCCTAAAGCTGGTTTGTAGTTTTACACTATCATATCTTCTGAAGAGCAGATAACAAAGCCCTGAATACTTTTTAGTCCTAGTTCTGTGAAAAAAAACATTACAACATTTCTGTAATTGACTTTAGCATCATGTCAGACAGTTCAGGTGGTTTAAGTGAACACAGTATTTGGTACCCTTCTCTTGTCTGTGAGACAATGCCTGTGCCCTGTTAAAACCTAACAGTGACTCAGAAGCAGAGTAACAAAAGTAATGCATGGAAATCACTTGTATGCCGTTCTTCTGTACAAGCTATTCTGATTCCATTGGTGCAAAGAAATTTATTTTTATATTACTTCCATGTTACCTTTTGAATCACTTAATACTAAGTTATGTCTCTTTGAATCAGTAGCAAAGAGGAATGTATTTAATAAAAGCTAATTAATGTTATTTTCCAAACATTGCCTGACATCTTTTCTGGCAGCACAGTTTAGTGAAGGCAAAGTTGATGAAGTTCTGTTTTGGTTTACCCCATAAATTCAGAGTAACTGCTGACAGCTGCAGTGTAGAAAATGTCCCATTCGTGATAAATTAGCTGCATGTGTGTTGGATATTATGAGTCACATCACTGAGTAATTCTCCAGGGAGGACCCAAAGATGAAGACCTTTTCCCTTTCTTATTCTAAGGCTTTTGTGTATCCAGCAAAATTTAGGCCTAAATTATGCTGACAGTTATTTGTTCATCAGGACTGTCACAGGCAAGTGATTCTGCTGAGTTTGAATTGCATCGCTAGGGTTGCTTTCTGACTGCAACTTAGCTGTCATAACATCAGTTTTCTTATCATATTCTGCTTTAGCTTTTGGGATGTATTTAAAGAAAAATTTTTATGCTTTTCTAAAATGAATGTTGGAATTGGGCAAAAACTAAGGGGTGCGTGTACAGAAAGTGTAGTCTGAATTTTGGTAGGTTTTTGTTTTAATGTGTAGGGCGCAGCTTCCAAATGTTGTGACTGAGTAATTCCAAATACGACTAACATGGGCAGGTGGCGGCCCAGCATCTGCCTTCAGTCTGATGCACAGAAGCACGTATTTAGGGGAAGCAAAGTCAGAATTTCTATTCTTAATCTCAAGGGTAGAATTATTCAGGCCACCAAAGCTGCAGTTTTGCTAGCAGTTTACATTTTAGTGATACGTTGACTAACCAGTTTAGACGTTTTGAGACTGCATCTGTTCAAGGGTGTGAACAGCTGGCCCTGTGCACTAAAGCAAAGACAATCGCTAGCGTTAACAGCATGCATCTCATCGTTCCAGAGAACGCTTCTTTCGTAATGTGCCATGCAGTGGCTGGATTAATCATCAAATCTGATCTCCTATCCTTGCTTAGGAGTGTTGATATGCAACTAGAAGACGAAACTAAAGTCATAATACTTGTGAGATCTATTAGATTTACTTCTCTTTTTTGTTCCTCTAATAAGGTCCTCTACCAAGAGCTGTTGCTAGCAGTATATGTTAATGTTAATTTTTCATGTTTGCCAGGGAAATACTGTGACACCATTTTCTATGTATGACAGAGTATTCTGGTTATGATAAATGGAGATATCTTCATTTATCCTTTCAGAGACAGAAAAAAGAGGTTACTGTGTCCGGAGGCTCTTAAAAAAAAAACAAAAACAAAACCAACAAATAAATGATGATTTTATTCAAGTTAGCTAAATAATTGCCTGTTTCATGGTTTAATGTCAATGTTAAACTAACTAGCTTTCATTTAAATTTATACCAGGTTCTATTACAGTCAAGGTACCTGCCTCTCTCAAAGCCTATCTACAGTTGTCTGGAAGAAAAGTGGATGTGAGCTCAGAGATCCAGTTAAAGGAAACACAGAGTGCCTCCAAAGATGATCACGTAACTATAAGTGGTAAGGCTTACTAATCTTGGCTTCCAATAAATGTCTGTCTGGCCTTAGTCAAAGGCATTTACATTTCCTTATGAGTTTATTGCTCTTGGCTGCTTCTTGTTTCATCTGTTTCAGGTTCAAATGTTTGGTTGTGCCATTGAACTCCCCACGTTACTAGATGACTTTTTTGTTTTATTTGGTACATGACTTGTGCATGCAAACAACCACTACTCTAACAAAAGTCTTTTATTCCAGCAAATTTGTGAGAGGTAATCTAGGGCTGAATTTGACCCATTGCTTTGTTGACTTAGACAATCACATATAATAAATTGCCTGGAAATGTCTAAAAATATAATTAAAAGTTTTCTCTGTTGGGTGGGAGGGGGAAGTGAAAGGGTATATGGCGTATTGATAAACGTACAGTATAAATGTTAAACAGTTCAGGAGAGGCTGAGAAATGATGGTGAGAGATAGCCAGGAGAAGAGTAGAAGAAGCTGAAACATGGAGGAATAGAGAGTAGATGGAAAGGTGCCTGCAATTAGTGGAAGCATTCTTCTAATGCATTTAAAATTGAACTTGGGAATCCCAAATCTTGCTGCTTCCTGCTTTAGAAAACAGTTGTACAATTCATTGTCAGGGCGTGTATTTCTCTCCTCTCCGAACGTATCTTTCTACAAGTTAAGGCTGTTGCTGTTACCAATTACTCAGTTTGCTCAAGAGGAAACATTAACATAATGTGTCTGAAGGCTCCAGCTTTGTTTTCGAATGTGTAATGTCAGTATGACCTGACTTGATAGCTTAGTGGGTGAGGCTTTGAGGTTTTTCTTCGGTTTTAAACCGAAGAAAATATGCACAAAACTTCTTTTCCTCCCACATGTAAGATAATAATCTCAAAGTCAGGAAATGTCATGTATATACAAAATTGTAATATGTAGCCTTCTTACATAAAATAGTAGCCTTGAAATGTATAGGTGTATCTCTTCCTGTCTTGAACTGTAACTAGCATTTAAATTTACTAGTGGTTATTACTTTTTTTTTTTTTAAACTGTGGTTAGAAGTTCTCAGGATAGAAACCTGTGGAAGGACTTCAGATTTCAGCAAGGGTCTGTGGAATGAATCACGCCAGCAGTAAAACAACACATCTCCCAGTGAATGAGGACCACTAGCCAGTCAATCATCCTGTTACTCTGGCAAGGCAAAGATAAGAGTGGTGTTTCAAATGTACGCAGCTGAATGGCTTCTCTGGTTTCACGACCTAGTCAGAGTGTTGGTGTAGGACAGTCATCACTGGAGCAGATGCAATTTTTCAGCCCACCATTTGGTACGGAAAAAATCTTGGCAGTTGAGGCCAACAGCAGCTCTGATTAGTTAACCCTCAAATACACATGTGTGTGGCAATCAGCAAGCATTATGCAGAGGGATCTGCATTGGACCACTGATCACCAGGTGTTTAAAGAGGTTACAGCATTGCACCAAAAATTTATTAAACATAGATCTAAATTTATCATAATGAAAAATACGTTAATGAGAAATAGACCCTGGAATGGATTTTCTACAGGATGCAATTTGGTTAAACTAATGCTGGCCCAAAGTAACGTATCTTCATCTGTCTTTATACCCAGCACTTAGCTGTGCTGAGTGTTTTCTCACATAATGTAGCCAATGGTTTCTAGCAGTGCTCTCCTCCCTTTTTTTCACTCTTCAGTAAGAAGCAACAAGGGAGATGTAGTTGATTTTAACCTGTGCTTTGCTCCTTTTCTAACTCTTCTGAAAATGGTACCTCCCCTTTCTTTGCCAAGTCAGTAACATTCCTTTGGAATGGCAAGGGAGATGCTTCCTGCTTCTTCTCTTTTACCTTATTCCATGGAGACACTTTATTCTTTCTGCAGGACAAGCACTTGTCTTCTCATTCTCAACAATCTCTTCTTCTTAAAGTTGATATTTGAGAATTTTCCTTTACAAGTAGGTTCTAAAATAATTAAAAATCACTTAATACTGTTTCTGTATCATGAAAGCATTATCCACTCTTGAAGTCTATAGCTATCCTGCGACTAAAGAAATATAAAATGGAGAGAGAAGAGGGATTTGCCAAGTAGGAAAAATCTCTGTCTCACCAGAGCATGGCAGTTTAGATTTTTATGCTTCTGAGCTCAAAGGTTAGTTTAAAAATAGAGGATTTTTCAGAAACTGGCCAGTTCTCATGTGGATAACACAGGAACTGACTGCTTTCAGGAAGCTTTACTTGCCTCTGGGAATATTGTGAGAGATGTTAGAGAGGAGACTCTCCAGTGGGGAGACAGGGTAGAGTTCTGTGACTTGGGTAAACATGCCCCTCGTCTATCACCCTCTAGGAAAGCCTTCCCTACTGCTGTTACAGCAGCTATATGTACGTTGCTTCATGGCTCTCCATTCTATGCTGAGTGGGGAAGTCAGTAAGCTACAATCCCACGAGCAATCACATCCAGTATTTTGCAAGATGGCCACGGAATAGAGCGGGATTTAGTCAAAGCAAGATGATGAAAGCCTGGAGTGAGTGCTGTAGAGGCAGAGTGATGAGAGTGTGAAAAGGTGTTTTGCTCTTTTAGAAAAGGAAGGGACTTTACTGAGTAATTAGGACACTTGCTGAGAAAGGGAAAGAACTAGAGAGCAGTGCCAGGGAGTTTACTCTTCAGAGTAATTTGCAAGGGTAAGGCTTCTGTTTCCATTGGCATCAGTAGGCACTCCTAGTAGTAGTAGTATGTGTGGTATAATGAAATCTGTTATAAAACCAGATTTTTGATGCTAAGTGCTTGTCCAGCTTCCATCTGTGGAAGCGTTTGTTTGGCTGTCTAGTTTGAAAGTGTTTAACTCACTCCAGTCATTTCTGATGGCAATCATGTCAAGGCATGCTTTTCCTTTCCCTGGCAAAGAGGGTAGGAAGAGAGGATTCTGCTTAGCCCTTGCTGCTTGATGTCTGTACCTTTCTTGTGTCTCCAGGTCTGCCTATATTCTTAAATCAGCTGATCATTAACTATATCTGGAACTGTATATGGTAAGAGGAAGGGTAGAAGGCTAAAAAGTGTCAAATATTCAAGCAGAAAAAGAGCTTAGACTGTCATGCCAAAGGGGCTACAAACATGTTGAAGAGCAGGGTTAAAATTCAAACAGTCTTGACTTGTATGCATTTAGGTCATTTTTCTAACAAGTCCTTTTAAGTTTGAAGTACAGAGGTAGGAATAACTACCTCTGTGGTCCCAAGAAGAGGAATACTTCAATAAAAAAATCAGTAAACAGGAAACAATAATTTTACATAGTTGCAAAAAATAAACAGTATATTAACATGACTGTTCCATAAAACTCAAAATAATCCCTTGGTCTTACATGGCATTAGTAATACTTTGCTGGAAGGTGTCCAGTTTTGAGTACTGTACTTCAAAAGTATGTGGACAGCTGTAGAGACTCTAAAGGAGAATGCATGATTTATGAGGGAAGACAAAGTGGAAAAAAAAAGTGTTGCTTCTGTCTGAAGAAGATAAGACTGAGGAAAAATAAGATGCACTTTTCCAGCATGTAAGTAACTGCTGCAGAGATGAAGGAAATAAATTGTTCTCTGTCCACTGGTGATAGGACTAGAAATTATGATTTGACCTTACAGTAAAGAAAACTTAGCTAAATAGTAAGATAAACTTTCTGGTAGTAAGCACTTGTCTGGTGAGGCCATAGGACTGTCAGTACTGCAGACTGTGAAAAACAGACTAGGCAAGCTTGTCAGGTTAAATATAGTGCATCCTCAGGAGGCTGCTCTCAGCCCTGTTTTCTCTTGTCCTAAGTTGATGTGACCACCTGCTCCCACCCACTCCATAGGAAGGTTGAGGCATGTGGACGGATAAATTTGGGGACTAAGTGAATGCAGCCAGTGGGCACGCTTCCTCCCACTTCTGTTGCCTGCTTGTGTGTTGACAACTGTAAGCTTGCTGGAAAAAGTCTTGCAATCATTGAGAGACTTTCTTTGGATCTTTGTATCTGACGGTGTTGATTTCCAAATCTAGTTGTCTGAAATATAACCCCCCAAACAAACACAAAAACAAAACCAAAAAAAACCCATGTAAATCTTCTATCTCTGAGTGATGCCAGGCACTGATTCCAGATCTTTCTCCATCTCTGATCTCAGTTCTAGGGCCAAGTCCATATCCAGCGGCAACCTTTGACCTGATGCCATCCGTCTGCTTGGTGCCGAGTGAGCTTTTAACTTTGGCAATCACTTACTCCATCTGGTTTTCAGCACTTGCATGAGTTTCCTTGGTAAAAGTCCCACAGTGTCACCAGTGCTTCTCACAGGCTATGGATGGTTGTCTTTGTAAGTTGTTGTGTCTTCCTATTCTTACTTTCTCAAGTTGGCAAACCAACCTCTTCATATTTTTCTGTCCTCTTACAAAGAACAGAGTCTTTGGGAACATTTGTCTGCTCCCAAGTCAAGACATTCTTACTCCCGATTTCATCCAGAGTGACAACAGTTGGAGCAGTTCATAGGATTTTTAGCCTTTGGTACTAATCCCACCCTATCTACAGGACTAGAGCTTTGCTGAGCCACATCCGAACAGTGTTCCTCTCAGAGCCATGTCTTCTGGTGACTGTGCACACAGGTAATAAGGCGAATAGGGCACTGTCTTACATGTTAACTTACACCTTCCCTTCAGTGTCTGTCCTGGGGATGGAGAGGAATCTCCTGTTGTCTCCTCTAACCTCCCCTTTCCTGTGAAAGTTTCCAGGTAGATGTTGCCTCTACCTTTTTGGGTTGATCCAGCCTCCAATTACTCTTTTGATCACTAGAAGCAACTTCTTCCTCATGTGCCTCTGGAGAGAGTCACCCTGTCTAATTACCAGATTCCCTTGAAAAGGTGATACCATTCTCCTATGTCTGTCTTGCTGGGTTTCTCTTAACAGCTTCAAGGCTTTTCACTGTTTGGTTCTCCAGGTAGGTGTAAGGTTCCTCCTTACAACAATCATTCGCTTAGGCATGCACTGAAATAATAAGGCTTTGTGTCTGTGGGAAGTTAGATCTGGATTCCCCTCTGGAACATAGGGGACTTAGATGTTTCCTACCTCAATGTCCTTAAGAAATACCTTTTTTCTCACTGCTCCTCATCCAATAGTACAGGGAGGGCAGCCTATGAGGTGCTGTGGAGTTACCCTGTAGGATTGCTTCAAAGCCAGTGTGAAAGGAGGGGGCTGACTGCATGAGTCTCGTACACTGTGTAGGAGGCTTTACAGATGTGTTTAACTGCTTTTGTTATCAGAAATTCTATACTGTTTACTTTAAGGTAATTTCTGTGTTTTCAGCTGCATGGAGCTCCAGGGTTAAATGCAAACACAGCTGAAGGGACAGTGAATAACATGAGGCAAGCAACTTGCCTTTAAAAGGGAAATAACTGAAAGAACTTACGGCAGTCTGCTGAAACTTAAGTTTCTTCTGAAACTTAACAGCTGTCCGAGTGTAGCACTCCTTCTCCCACTGCGCAGCTGACTTGGGTCTGGTGCATTCAGAGTTACGGTTCTTATCCCAGGAGTAACGCCATCCGCTGCCGTGTCCCTCCCTGTTTTCTGTGTTCTCAAGGCACTTCTTCAAAACTTTCCTTCTTTCCTAGAAGCAATTTTTATTGACTCTTTGCCACTAGAATTGAGTGGGAAGAGCTTTGTTTTACAGTGTCCCTCTAAACACTGTCCCTCTGTGTAGCCTTGATCCTTAAGGAGTATCTTAAAAAAAACAAACAAAGACCCAGGTTCTATCTGGAAAAGATTACATTCCTTCAAGTCGAATAGGAAGTTCATCCAACTTTTATAAAACACTTTAGATGAGATGCTATCCTACAGATTTTTATTGGTTTCAGCTTGCATTTAACTCAAGCTGTTCACAGCCTTTTTGAGATGTACCAGAGTTCTAACAATACCAGTGAAAAACATTTAAAATATGCTCATCTTTGGGCATTTTATGATCAAATGGAGCTCTCTATTTGCTTGCCTTCCTGGAGACTTGAGAAAGTAAACAGTCAGTACTTCACTGCATAATGTTCTGCAAAGGTGTTCTCTGTGTTTAGACACACATTGGGGGGAAAAAAAATAAATTCCTGGGCATTAAATTGGAAGTAGCCACGCAGCATAGTGGTGCATCTGTCTTCTCCTGAGCTCATGCTTTTGTCTTGACTGGTGAGTTTTGAAATGAAAATGAAATTTTTTTTTTATTTTACTTTTTACCCTTCCTTTCCTTATTCTCAATCCAACAGGCTGTTGGTTTTCATGATTTAATCATGCTAGCAAAGTCATCCTCAAAATCCACTTACATTCCCACAGTATTCAGAGTACAGGCAGTGAGTACAGTTAAGACCAAACTGCCATCAAAAGGTCTCCAACTAAACCCTGTTGCTTGATTAGTGCCTCATACACAAAGCTATTTAAATATCTTAAGCTTCATTTGAACCTGCTACTGGCCATAGGCTTCATAACATTAAAATAGTTTGAAGATCTTCATCCCTGGGGAGTGGAACTTGACACTCACTTTCCTGCAAGCGATTCGGTATTTTCTGCATTCCCTTCACAGGCAAATCTCCAAAAGAAGCATAAGGAACAAAACATTTTTCTAAGTTCACATAGCAAACGCAAAATGAGAAACAGAGCTCAGACAACAACTGAGCTTTAAAACAGCTCTTGTTAATTTGTTTCTGTGTTTCCTCAGAACTCTTCTTTGACTTTTTAGCAGAAGTGTAGCAGGGTGTAAGCAGTGCATGAAGCTGTTCGTTTGCAGGGCTGATTCTGTGCTTCAGTGTTTGTTCCTTATGTGGAAGTACAAACCATAATGAGAAAAAGATGAGAGAGGAACTGGGACCAAGCACTCCAATATGCACTGTCTGGAAATATATCTCTGCCCTATGTATATTGTGTCCTCTCTCCTTAAGGAAAAAAAAAAGCTGTGTTTTCAGTGGTCTACAGCTCTGTTAAAGGATCAATTGAAGTTTTCTTTTACATCTCTTTGCTGGTTCACTTTTTTGACACCTGGAGGCTATTTCTCGTTTAAAATTCAGACTCATCTAATGTTTTAAGGGCTACCTCTACTTAAAAGACAGATTTTTGTTTTCATTTCTGTTCTGCATTCTCTGATACAATACTATTGCAAAACAATGATTTGGGAAAGCTTTCTTTTAACAGATTTCACGTACAACACATTTATCCAACTTTGTGATGTTCATCGTAGATTTAAGTGTATGCTTAGATAGGAAGTAGAACTGTGGATTCTGCCTTACAGTAAGAATGGTAGTGAGACCGTGTGATTGAGACTGCTGCTGCCTGGAGCAATCAGGAGTGCAGAAATTGTACGAGGACATTCACATGAAGATCCTTGAAGGCATGTTGTAGCCTAATAACAAAGGACACTGAAATGCTGCTTCATTCAGTGGGAGAACTCCATCAGTGTTGGACTCCTCTGAAAATCCTGTACTTCTAAACAGTACCTCAGCCTGCTAGTGAATTGATGTGGGTTTGGCCCATAACATTAAATTAATCCCACTTGGAAGTACCAAAGCACTGAAATGCTATTGAAAAGTTTGGCAAATAGGCTTGAGTTGTGGAAAGCAATGCAGTGATGTCAGTTGGAGTTTTGCCACTGGTTTTGACGTGGCCAAAATTTAACTTCAGCTGTGTTACAGGTCAGAGCAGAGCATGTTTGCAAAGTTGCTTCAGAATCTGCTTCCCTGCCATCCCTCTTGCTATTCCAGGCTCAAATTAGTTCTAAACTTAGAATTCACTCAGTCACACGAGCACTAAAATAATAACAAAAGATATTTTGTAAAGATAAACCGAAGTGAAGGTTGATCTTGAGATAAAAGCACTAATTTGGGACTTAGAAGATCCCACTTTAAATCCCTATTTGGTCTTAAATCTTCTGTGTAAATTTGGAAGGTTGTTTATTCTCTCTTGGCCTCAGTTTCCTAATTGTAAGATGAGAGTAAGCTGAACTTTCTCCTTTGTCTGTTATATGGCGAGCTGTTCAGAGCATGTCCATGCATACTAAGTTTATGTAAAACATGTCAGACAGACAGACATCTCAGGGGTAGTTTTTTTTAAGCCATTATCATAAGAAAGCAGTAATAGTAGCAACATGTCTGGTCATCTGGAAAGTCAGGTCTTGGCCATTTGTCTTTCCTGTGTTTACAATAAAGATGAAAACTTTTCAAATTACTTAGCCAGATTAATGTCTAATCTAGATGTATTTCCTAGCCCATAATAAAAGCTATGGCACTATAGAATAAAACCCACAACTTTATTTTCCCATCGTATGTTTATTGTAATAGATTAATGCAAAAAACTGTATCAAGAATGAAATATCAGAAGCCTCTGTTAAAAATATATAAATTCTACCAAAAAAAAACCTATTTCCAGGGAGCTTGAAAACAGGCAATGTGGAGATATGTTTACTGTGTGTCAAATTAAACTGAACAGAATTCTCTTTTCCAGGTCACATGAATCAAAGGAATGAAACAGACAAATGGATTAAGGCTGATGCACAAAATGGCAAAGTGTGTCTTAAAAGCCAAAGCTGGATCCAGTCTGTCAAGCTGAAGAGTTCTTAAAGGTGAAATAGGCCAAAGAGATTAAATCAAAAAATTGTAAAGGAACATTTCTGTAAAATTATGAAACTTTGTTGGTGTCTATTCTTAATATAATAGAGAAACAATATTAAAAATGAGGGCATTTTAACCCAAAATTTGCCCGTGACAGTGGCTGGTGCTTAACAGGTCTGGTTTACTTTTAGTGCCTTTTAGGAATTACAAGATCTTACATACTCAGAATTTGTATAACTTGGCCCACTTACCACGTCAGTTTAAAAGCTGGAAACTTTCAAACAAAAGTTTGGAGTTGTCATTTAAAAATAAAAAGCATTTTCAACAGCTGGTATTTGAAAATATGAAAACTTACTTCTAAGATGACATGCTCTGCAAGCTATATTATATTATTAAATTAAACATCTCAGTACTATGGGAATTCTTCTAGTTTATGCAAAGTGCAGAGAATTTTCTTCAAACAAATTATTCACGGATAAGGCAAAACCACTTTCAGAACTGTAGTTCTTATTTGGTCTTCTCGTTGGGTGTTTGACCTCTAAAGCAGCTTCTGCCTTGTCAATGGGTACTGGATGTGTAAAACTACTTACATGAAATGACAGAACTTCCTCCGTGTCATTCTGAACCACTTATTTGCCGAGAGCAATAAGAGCTCTGTCTACCATTGTTCACCTGCAAAGAAAAACTTCTAAAGTAAATACTCAAAAGTGCAATGGCCTGGCTGTTTTCAAGGAGGAACTCTGCACCAAGAGTCCACATAAACATTCCCCTAAAGTAGAAGCTGCCAAGAATGGAAGTATTGGCCTAATAAATGAGGACTGTAATCTATTTGCTACATTTCCAGTGACTTACAGTCAACCTTGCGTGACGGGACTGTAAGCTCTTTGAGGCAGAAAGGCAGAGGGAGGTGAGGGAAGCATGTATGCCCTGCACAAGGGCATACATGATTTTTGTGGAGGATTTTGTGTTACTGTAAAGTAAACGGAGCTTTAAAAGCCTTTGCATACATATACATGGTACCTTATAAAAGAAGTACTGAAATTTGTGTTTTAAAACTGAAATGTAAGAATTCCTGCCAACTGAGTGGACAGAGGGTAGCGAAGAAGAGTTCAGAGCATCAGCTCAGGTTTTAAGTTGTGTGTGTATCATAATGGTACATTATGAAATGAACTTCTTCCCCACAGGATTCCCCCAAGAGGTATAATTGCGCCTGGCTAATGGACTTCCAATAGTCAGGGGCAGCATTTTTACTATAATTCAGAGTGGTTAAAAACTCCACATTCTGTTTCCCGTTGTGTGTACTGTTTGTTTGGATGAGGTGGGCACTGATGTGTATGGCAAATTATATGTATTTTTAATATAAACACTAATATATAAAACATTACTAAGATTGTTACTAAAAGCATTATAATATTACTAGTTGTTAGTAATTATCATTATTATTGTACTTTTAAATATACAAAATTAATAAATGCTTAATGGTTTTAGATTTCCTGAAAAATTTGTGAAACTAGTGATTTCTGTGCACTGCTGCAGACAAAGAGAAAGAAGCATCTCTAAATTCACACTGAATTGAAAAATAAAACCAATGTAGTAGATATTTCACAATATCGAGTCCATTTAATGGTTCCATTATTCACCCAGAATACAAAGCCTGTCAGACTCTGTGATTAAGGTCATGCTTTTTGGGACTGCTGCATCAGCAATTTAAAAGATAACATAGTAAGAAAACATGTTATTTCCTCCACGTTCAGAAGAAAGCAAGCTAAGGCATTCATACTCTAAAAGTGGCTGAAATTAAACATTAGGATTGCTAGTTACTTGCTTAAAGAAGCTTAAATAAGCCATCAGAAAAATTGCGCTACCACTAAATCTGCTCTGATTATATTCTTTCCAAGCTAATAAATATTAAGACTTGCTAGAACTTTAACCTAAAGTTCAAGAATGATCTGAAAAAAGACAAATCTCTCGGAGTTTCCTCAAAGGCATTGGAATAATGTCTTGTTCTGCTATAATGAGCTGAAACTTTATCTTTTTCTTTAGACAAGGAAAGATTAGTGGCTTATGAATAATTAGGATTTGAATGGTGAATCCCGTGTGTGCTCTTTTTTTTTCTGTCCATTTGATGAGAAGACACGTTCCTGTAACTGGAGGAAGTTTAACGCTTTTCTCATCTGCGCTCCTCCTCATTTGATTCTCCTGCCTCCATCAGCTGCCAGCTAACCCACAGTTCAGATCTGCAAAAGCAAACATCAGCTTGCTTAGAGAGCTGAACTCGGCCTGAGAGAGAGGCTTTTGTGGGAATGAGGGCTCTGTGTGCACAGTGACTGTTGGGAAGTAGAGAACTGTGCTTAAATGTGCAAGTTTGTCGTGTATTCAGGAGTCAGTAGTTACTACCTATTCACTGTTCTTTGTTGCTGATGAACGCTGTACTTGATGAGTACCAGCCCTGTCAAGTGTGAAGTTCTGTGGAAAGTCAGTGTGTTTATATCCTGGAGAGGATCTTCATGGCAAACAAGAACCCCAAACACAAAGAGATTTATTTATTGCTTACTCTGCATGGGACTACAAAAACTTCTTGTTATCGAAAGATTAAGACAGCTCGAATCAACATCTCAAAGTTAGGAATGTTGTTTCAGTGCGGCTTGCTTGAAGGCATACACGGTCCTGTGAGAGAGATTCACAATGCTTCCTTACTAATTCAACAAACGGCCTTTTATTAAAGTATGATTAGTTTTAAGAAAAATAATATAGTGTTCTTTTCATGCTCTAGTGAAAAATTCGAACTGTAGATGATGTTGCACAATTTCTTCATTTTTCATTTTGAAGTATTTATTTATTCAAGCTCTGATGTGTGATTTTTGGTGAAGGTGATTATGTTACCATCCCGGTCATATCCAAGCCAGGAAGGAGGGTCAGCATCGTTATGTTCTTGTTTCTCCAGTGTGGCTGTATATTTCAAGACAGCTTGTCTGCAACAAAAGTAAAAAAAAAAAAAAAAATTACAAGAGTAAAAAAAAAATTTTGCAGAGGCTATTTCTACAAAGAACGTTAAAAGCTAAGTTTAATGAGCAGGAGTTCTTTGTTTTAACTGAAGCTATCACTGTTAGAGATGGCATGGAAACTAGAAAATAAGATAATTGGTTAGATTACAGACACATAGAATAAATTAAGCTGGAAGGGGCCTCTGGAGATCATTTAGTCCTGGTCGTGCTCTAAATGGATCCAACTAGACCAGGTGGGTCATGGCTTTTCCAGCTGAGCTCTGAGTATCTCCAGGGATGAAGACTGCACAGCCTCTCTGGGATCCTGTTCAAGTGTTTGAGTAGCCTCCTGATTAAAAAATAGTTTCCATGTTTGTAATCAGAACTTTACATATGCCACTTGTCCTAACAGTGCACCTTTAAGAACAGTCTGGCCGTGTCTTCTCTTCTGTATCCTCTGATCAGAGTTATAGACAGCAATAAGGTCTCCCCCAGCCTAAGCCCTCCCTTCCTGTGACTGAGCAAAGCAATTCTCTCAGCCTCTCTTTACGTGTCACATGCTCCAGCCCTTCCATGGTTGTGGTGGCCTCATCTGCACTTGCTGTAGTGTGTCGGTGTCTGTCTGGACTGGGGAGTCTAAACCACAGATCTTTGGGGCTGAGTGGGCGATGCCATTGGAATAATAGCATTGTGTTTTGAAGAAAACGTAACACCAAACAAGATAAATAAACCAGTTACATCAAAGATACCACAGTCTCCAGAGTGGTTTTCATAGCTATATAGGAAGGCTGCAGTAACTATGCAGGTCCCTATCTCTGTTCTTTTCTTTGAATTGTCTGTCTGGCACCCGCAAGTATTTTTACCCTTTCCTGGTTCACCTTCTGCTTTCCTTTTGATTAACATCTCCGCTTGTAGTTATCTTCTGTCACCTACCTCTTTTTGAAGTGTGTTGTTTCTGAGGCTGAACTTCACAGGCAGAGTGACAGAGCCGGACCGTTACCTGCGCTGGCCATGGGCTCACCCCGAGGCTGTGTTTGGCAGCTGCTGTGATAGCTGAACCCGAACAGAATTGCTTATGATGACCAAACACACCCATGACCCTTCTGATCTCCCTCGGCATTTCACGACCACTGCCCCTTTGCAGCGTTAGAACACAAAAACAATGAACTAGAGCACAATGACACAGAAATAGGAGAAAATCAGGCCCGCTGAGAGAGATACCCTAAAAACAAGTTGAAGAGCAACTCTCTCCTCTCCCTCCTTTCTAGGCAGTGTCAGTCCAGCAGCTTTCATTGCCCTCCCGAGCTGAAGAAACTCAACCCACCACTTTCAGTCTTCTGAACGTCTCTTTCTTTCCATCACCTCTGCAACTTGGCTGTCAGCCCACTCCTGGCCGTGCAGGGCACCCGCCTCCCCCCATTGCTGGCTCTCGCGCTCCAGAAAGCTCCCCGGGGCCGAGTGTACTTGTATGCTCATTGGGGACGAGCCAGCTTTCTACACCTCCCATCCTCTTCAGGAGATTGTCTGAGCTGTGTGCCACAGCCGCAGCAAGGTAGTATTTCTCCCTGCTGGCCAATTTCCTAAGCTCTGGAACAATATAATACATGGCATCTAGACAATACTAGAAAAAAATCCAAATTGAAGTGGTCTGTTATCTGCCGGTAATGCTTCTACAGTATTATTAATGATGTTTTTTTCCAATGTGAAAATGCTGGAGATGGTTACAAAAGAGGCAGACATGCACAGCGCTAATGCCTGCACCACCACAGCAGGAAAGGGGAACCCGGGAGGGGTGCAAGAGGGACAAAAGTAGTGAAGCAAGGAGGGCTCTTTTTCAACCACTGCAGGATATTTTTTTTTAAATCTAACACTGACACACTGTATGAACACAAGGCTGTATCTGTTTTTATATTAGGGAGGCCTGTGCCATGGAGGAATGTGTGCACACTTTATATGAGCTATAAGCTCTAAGCTATAAAATAAAAATCAACTCATCAAAGTCCAAATTCCTGTTTTTCATGGAAACTGCAATGTATGGTGGCTGTCTGAAGCATGTATAAGGGGAGCTATTACTATTTTTTGGAAACTTACACTGTCCCATGCCTGGAGCTACACTTGATTAGTTTGCCAGAAACAGCCATTCATTAATCATCAACACATGGCAAAATAGATCATTTATTTAAGATACGCTGTACTATGATAGAGCCTGCTTATTTATTTATATAGTGTCTTAAAT